TTGAATAGTAAATCTGAATCATTTAAATTTTGATCAGGCAGCATATCGTGAAAAATGAGAAAGAACAACAAATCTGATTCCCATTATCGGTTAAAGAGGGGATTCATATTTCTATCTAACTGTGAAGTTTTTATTAATTTGAAATTATAAAAGGCTTAGGAGCTAGAGAAACAAAACTCCATGAATACCGCTTAATGTTGGCCACTTCCTAGTAGGTACAATAGGAGCAGGAGTTTGTGGAGACGCATGTGGTCGAGCCACTGTACAGTGGAACAACATGGAAATGAAAATCAAGCCTCCGATCATTTTGTTCATATCCTGCCACATTCAAATCCCAGTTCAGATGTCAATCAAATCATATTCAGAATTCCAAAACACGTTAACAATTTCGTATGAAACCCAGAATGCCCAATCAAATGTTTAGACAAAAGCATACCTACCATATTTTAAATGTTCATTTAGCTATCATTAAAGGAAGAGTTTGTTTTGCAGTAGCTGACTTGTTCTCTTTTATTTAAGGGACAGAAAATATCAAAAGTACAAAACCCAAAAACAAATATAATGATAACGTTGAGAAGATCTGGAAAAAAAAAAAACAGAAGCATAAGGAGAGGAACGAAACAAAAGGTGATAATGAGGCTAAATTTAATGAGAACTTTACCTGGGGTGCCAAACTCATTTTAATCTTTACTGCATGGATGAAGCAAACATCCCCTTTCAAGTTTCTGGTAAAACCCTCAAGGGAATGTGAGCCTAAAACGGAGAAGGGAAAGGGAGAGATAGGTTTGATTGATGTGTAAAAATGACTCTTAAATCATTATTTCTGCTCCCTTCCTCTCATTTCCCTTGTTTATAGGTGGTTTGTATCTTCTCTTCAATGACAACCAATTGCTATTTGCTACTTTGAGGATCTAAAATTTTTTAGTTCTTGTGTGCTAATTTTAGTTTATTTGTTGCAATTTGTTTATCATTTAATATGGTTCAATCTTGGAACATCAATCATCAGCAATATTTTATCGTTTACAACGTATATTCTGTTAAGAGCATTGAATTAATTAGTTTGCATTTGTCCATTTTGTGATAGTAATATGGTTCCAAGATTCAACAATTAGCTGTTAATTGCATGTCGCGAAGCATAAATGAAGTTAGTTGGTTTCGATTTAACAAACCACATCCATCAAAAGACTCCTTAGATTTGGTATGAGGGAAAAGAAGAAAAAAATTTAATGAGTTCGTTTTGAAAAATCAGAAAAGTGAGATTATGAAATTTTAATAAAGATAAAGAGTTGGACAAAGAAGTAAAAAAAATTAATTAAAAACTTTTAACTTCATTTTTTTCAATTTTTAAAATCAAATTCATTAAAATTTCCCTTTCCTTTCTTTCTGTTTCTATCATACCAAACAGGGCTGACGAATTAGTGTTTGCAGTTGCTAAGAGGAAAACTGGGCACAATGTTAACCCGTACTTAAGAAATCATTCATGCTTCATATTGAATGAAACTCAAGAATGTGAATGAAATATAATTAAATTCAATTTAATTTAGTTATTTCAATTGCAATTAATTTTAAATGATATAATTAATAGTTGGGGTTATGGGTACAAATTTAAAACACCCTTGTGGGTCATTCGTACAATACAAAATTTATGAGAGTTTTGGTAAATTTAATTTTTAATTTATATTAGATTGTGAGTCTATACTTTATATTAAGTGTGCATTGCAATAATAAATAATGCAATTTATGTAATATACTATTTCGAATCCTAGAAACTTGTCTAAGGAATCTACCCACGCATATATTATATCTTGATTTTGGATAAACTACGTGTAATTTTACAAAATTCTTTTTGGTCGAAAAATTGATTATTTGCCGCAAAATGAGGTCATGAGTCTCATAGATAAGGTTTCTTAGTTTGTTGCTCTATTTATTAAAAAAATTATTGATTAATTGTTTTCTAAACTTATAATTTAATGTATTGGCACATGGTTGTTATGTCTCATTATGTTCTAATTAAGTACTATTATACTTGAAGTTAGCTTATAAAAAATATTGGTTGGGAGGTCTGTGTTTACTTGAATTAGTGATTCAAACAGAAATATATTTTTTAATAACTTAATACAAGTAGTCGTACTTTATACTCCTTCTTATTGTAAACATGACTTAGTTTGGATGTAATACCACAACGTTGGTGATTTATTATAAGAACTAGTTGAGAACTAAATTAATTCCAAATATAAGATCTTAATGTATTCTATCTCATGTCTTTTCTTAAAATATTCTTATTGATCGTAAGGAATTTCTACTAAGAAATAGTTTTAGATTACCCAATGCACATGATTGAAAATGATAATTTATGAAGAACAATATACATTTATGACGAATAACCAATTTAACTAAATTTTTTAGTATTATCAAATTAGTTATTTAACTCTTATATTAAAAACCCGAGTTAATACTTCAATATATTTTTGGGTTAATATAATCTTTGGTTTCTATAGTTTCATCTCAGTTTGGTTTTGGTCCCTATAGTTTGAAACCATAGGTTTTGATCCCTATAATTTTCTCCTGTCTCAAACGGTAGTCCCTATAGTTTAAGAAGGACCTAAACCCCAAAATAACAGTGTTAAAAATGCTCAGCTGTCACTAACAGTGTTTATTTTGCTTACATGGCCTGATGACTAGACAAAGTGATGTGGAAAAAATGCTGGTTGTGCTTTGACATGTAAATATTTAAAAAACAAAAATAAAGGTAAAACATAAAACGCATAGTGGGAAGCACCAGAAAGGATTTGAAAACGAAAGGGATTGGAGGGTTAGGTCAAAAAAGGGAGAAGGGCTTACGATTTGAAGGTAATCAGAAGTATTACGGTCATTGGAATTTACTGCAGTTGTTTTAAGTCATTTGTCGAACGCCAGGGGTGGCTACTTCACTTTTTTTGGGTTCCTAATTTTGTTTCTTCAAAAACTTAACCTTTTATATTTTGGGTACTTCACTTTAACCACTCTGTTATCCTCATCATTACTTGATCCATCAACTTCGTCAATCTCCTCAGATTCATAATCAGATACCATTGCCAATATATCCTCCTCTCTCACCTCAATCATGTTTATTTGCTCGGTATTATTAGGCTCAACTATCATCAACTGTGAACTACCAACAACTTCATCCAACGCATCACCAACATCAACATTAACATATTTTCTAAAGTAGTCATCATCCATATCTTCTTCATCACTATTCTCAAAATCAAACAAATACCCATCTAAATCATTATCACTCTCCTCCATTCTTGTACCATCACCTCTAGCACAACTCTCTTCCTCCCAATCCATATTTCACCTGTGAGTATGTTACAAAAGAAAATTGTCAATTGTGCGTATAGACATTGCATGATAGTCATAGAAAGTAAATATTATCTATATGGTACCAACAACATATTCAAATTATTATTACATCTAAAAAACAAAATTGAATTATTGATTAATGCTCATTGTTATTTTGATCCATATAATTATGATTATGCTATCCATGGGATTACAATGTCTATGGTAAATGACAAAATATTTTCCATCTAAGTCTAACACCTGGAATCCATAAACACTTGTTAACTAAATTTAAATAATATAATACTACAAACTCCAAGAATTATAGTCAAATCCTAACTGTAACTAAACCCTTGGAAGAATCATTAATTGAACTGATATATTAACAATGGTATGCTGAAGCTCGTATCATTTCATATTAACAATGGTTTACGTCATATCAATATGAAAGTAAAATAAAATAAGGAAAAAGGCTGCAATAGGCATAATGAAGATTAGAGAATCAGCATTTTTCACTTCAACTGGTAGCTGAAATTATTTCACAAAAACCAAATAAAAACAAAGCAATAATGGCACAAAATTTCATAGTATGAAGAAATAATGTAAAGAGCAAAGCAACAATAATCAGCCATATACAGACCACACTTCGAAGAGGCAAAAACTTCATGAAGAAAAACGACTAGTTTTATGGCCACAAATTTTAACAAAAAAAGACCACAATGGGACGGAATCAAAGTAATAGACAATAATAAAAAAGATGAAGAAGAGCCTCTGTTTTTTTACTTTGCTACTCCAAATCAGAGCAAAGGGTTTTAATAATCAAAGATAAAAATTTTTTCTCACTCTTCAACACAGCTAAAAAGAGAACCACAATGTCACACCACAATCAACTATCAGAGGCATCGTCGGAAACTCACACTTGGTCTCCACCGATGACTACTCAGACTTCCGACGTAACAAAGGTGGGTTTGCCTTGATCAAACCCTCCAATCCCTTTTGTTTTCAAATCCTTTCTGGTGTTCCTTGCTATGCGTTTTATGTTTTACTTTTATTTCTGTTTTTTTTTTAAATATTTACATGTCAAAGCACAACCAGCATTTTTTCCACATCACCTTATCTAGTCATCAGGTCATATAAGCAAAATAAACATTGTTGGTGACAACTCAGCATTTTTAACACCTTTATTTTGGGGTTCAGGTCCTTCTTAAACTATAGGGACTAATGTTTGAGACAGGAGAAAATTACAGGGACCAAAACCTATGGTTTCAAATTATAGGAACCAAAACCAAAATGAGATGAAACTATAAGGACCAAAGACTATATTAACCTTATATTTTTTCTCTCCTAAGTTTATTATTTTTTCTCAACTATTCATATTAATTGTATATGTTAAAAAGTTTCTATTATCATCTAATTTAGACAAATTAACACACACTTTAAATAATTATAACTGATTTAATTAATTTTTAATCTTTACAAATTAATTATATAATTCCTAAGCCAGTGTTGGCCATATATACACATATATATAATATTCTAATATGACAACTCATCGATTGGGATGCGGGAATTTAATTCGCACTGGAGTATGGTGGCGTGAGACCACTAATTTTCTTATGTCCAAAAAAGGGTCCACCTGTGTGTGCCTATATATATAAAAATGCACATGTGAGCTCGGCGACGATTCAATTATTTTCGTTTTTTCTTGTTGTTCATTTTTGCAGTTTCAGTTCCCGATTTCATTACCGACGCATAGTCGAAAAGAAGGAAGCTTTGAAGTTGAAGAGTTTAGGGAGAGGGGGAGAGAGATATGAAGATCACAGCTTTGTTGGTGCTTAAGTGCATCCCGGATGGATCCGATCCGGTGATACTTGCGAATGCGTCCAATGTAAGCCACTTCGGCTACTTCCAACGTTCCAGCGTCAAGGAGTTTATCGTCTTCGTCGGTCGCACCGTCGCCAAGCGCACCACCCAGGGACAGCGCCAAACCGTCCAGCACGAAGGTGCGTTTTATTCGTTCCTTTCTATAGGGTTTCTGGGTCTGGATTCAGTTGTCTCTTTGTCGACCCTGAGTTATGAATTTTTAATCGCTTTCCCTATGCACCGTTTAGCCTATGTTTCCCAATTATTTTCCGATCAATTGGTTGATTTGGGTCGGAATCTTTAAGACAAAGTCTGCTTGTTCGTTTGGATTTTTTTACCCCTTTTATTAATGAATTATGGATGGAGATATCTGTACCCACCATGATTGTCACTGGGAGAATATTAGTACTTCGAAGTCGGATTTGGTGGTTTTAATTCAAGTTCACTCGATGCCAGTTATGAGACAAGCGTATACTTGGTTCTATCTTTCTTTCGTTTTCTTCTTTTTGTGGGTGGGTATAAACAATAAAATTGATAAAAAGCATCGGTTCCAAGGACTAATATGAATCCATCTTTTGGTATGGGTAATTTTTATGTTTACCCTTTAATGCAATAACTTGACCTCGCGTACTCTTTAAGTTCTTTGTCAATTCGATATTACATCTGAGTGGAGATTTGATGGGATTATTGTTTTAATCTTAATGAAATGGTTGAGTTGGTTTACACTATGAAGCATGATCTCATGGTATCTATTTGCTTTCTTTTATCAATTATAGAGTACAAGGTGCATGCTTACAACAGAAATGGCCTTTGTGCATTGGGCTTTATGGATGATCACTATCCCATACGAAGTGCATTTTCTCTTCTCAATCAGGTGAGTGCAATAACTTTCTTCCTTAATATTTTATTTGCAACACATCCTGTTTCCAGGAGCAGTCTCTTGCTTTAACATATTTTAACTCTTCTATTGGTTCTCATGAAGGGATCAGTTTTTATTGTTACTTTAACACGAGCAGCTTTTTCTCTGTTGTTTCATCTCTATATATGTCCCTAGTGTCCTGAAATGTTAACGTTGACATGTGGAAAATTGGTTCTCACGAAGGGATTGAAAATTTGGTTTTAGAAAATAAACCTGTGGTGATGTTTTCCTTTTAAGTTACTTTTATCTGTCACATTTCTGATCACCAAAGTATTGTTAAGTACAACATTGTTCACGTTCATTTCTTGTTCAGTTCTGTATGATATCATTCCGTGTTTGATTTATATCTATTTATTTTGGGTTCAAGGTTAACCTGCTAACTTATTGACCCTCTAGAATAGAGTAGGACTGCATTTTAGGTTTTAATGGTTGGATCTGTGGTCTGAGATTTTACGTTTGCCTGAAAAGGAGGGGCTTCTCGCAACTAAGCTTGAATTAAAATAATCAAAGAATTACAGACTAAGAGGGTTAGTGCATGGTCAAACTTGTGCTATTGAAGATTTTCCTGATTCCCTGAGGAAGTTCAATGATCTTGATATTATTTGTGAGAGATGAGTACAAAGAATTTAACAATTTAACTGACAGATGGTGAGAACAAAACGTGGGAGAATAAGGTGGTAACCTAGGGTATATGGGTAAAATGAAATGCTCACCCTACTTGCAAATAAGGGCTTAAAACTGCTGCATTTCTTGGACATGTCAACATGCCCACAATGGTCTAATTTCAGGAACCATATATCATGAATTTGAAACTACTGGAACATAATTCTTTTACACTATTGGGACTGTTTTAGAAATTGCATGAAATTATGGTACTAAATGAGTAATTAATCCTTGTTACCAAAAAAAAAGAGTAATTACGCGTAACTTTTTTTAATTAATTTGCAGAGTATGATTAAAGCTGTTTCAGCCAGAGCTCTTCATGATATCCTTGCAAATTGCCCTTCCTTTACACATACACCTAATTTTGTTGATGATTTTGTTTCTTCCCGTTTGTTGTCCGTTCAAAATGAAAAGTATTGCCCCTCTGTTGTGCTAGCGGATCTGCTAAATGGTTGATTGCTCAAAGCCCTTTGTTCCAAATGATTTCAATGAGAAAGGATAATGATTGTCGTAAAGTAAATGAACCAATTAAATTGTTGGTAACTAGGAATAATTTGTATTTTGTAGAAATTGAAAGTGGAATAAACGAGAAACATTGTCAAATTAAATTTACTGTCATGATGTATCTTATGCATCTGGTTCTTAAAATGGCCTTATTTAATACATCTTAATGAATATGGTGTTTTACAGCTGCTCGATGAATATGAAAAAGCTTTTGGTAATTCATGGAGAACTGCTCAGGCGGATGGTACTCAATCATGGCCCTATTTGGAGCAAGCTCTGACAAGATTCCAGGTACCTCTATACGTTCAAGCTGAACCAGCTTCAGCTAAAGAATGTCCCATTGGAGTGTTGAATTATACAATATTCTGAACTGTACCAATAATGTTTCTTTTTGTTTTCCTGTTCATATGGTTACTTTTGACTCATTTATGTCATTTTCCCTGCTATTTACAAATCCTCAGGACCCTGCAGAGGCTGATAAGTTGTTGAAAATCCAGAGGGAACTGGATGAAACAAAAATCATCCTGGTAAGTGTTAGATTTAAATATGGATCACTGTGTTATAAACTTCCTTTGCAGTTGGACATTCTTCTTCTCTTGTAGTTGTCCAACAGCCATTTTATATGGATAGCAGCTTTCTGTGAAAAACCTTTTAAAGTTGTTTGGGGTTTTGGAATTTGTTTAACAATACATATGATGATCACTGCATGGTCATGCGATTCAAGCATCACATGGTCATAAATGAATATGAATTACTATTGTAATGCATATCCTTGAGTGATATCTTATCATAGAATTTATAAAACCACCCTTTTTTAATGATTGTTCTTTTGCTATTATGTTTTTGAATTTGTATTTATGCTTATTAATGTGCCTTTGAACGGCAATGTTAAAATTAATTTGTTCTCTTGACCTACCCGTGCTATATGGGGATTTATTTGTAGGCTTTTGTTACTTCCTTCCTTGCTCTTAATTGTTGCATTGCTTTTATATGCTATGTATCTTTAGGAGCCAGATGTCAATACTGGCAGTTGTTTCCTTTTGCCTTTATTTGTATTTCTCATTTTGTTATTCCCACTTTTGTTCATACAACAGCATAAGACTATTGATAGCGTTCTTGCACGTGGGGAGAGGTTGGACAGTTTAGTTGAGAAGAGTTCTGATCTGAGTGCAGCGTCACAGGTACATTACAACTTCTGTTTTATGGTTACGCATTTGGGAATATCACATTAGTGCCTATGCCAATTATGTGTGGCTCATCCTTTATTTTTCCTTTCACCAAAGCTTTGGTTAACTGTTATTATCCTTATTTAACATGCTTTTATGTCTCCTTTTACCAAGCCTCTGGTTAACGGTTATTATCTTTACTTTGTGGGGAACTGATTCCATTTCAGTTGCCAATATCTTGTATTGCCATTTAAGCTTAAAATACGTATATATAGGATTACTACACGGGGAACATATTCTATTTCAGCTGTCAATATCTTGTATTGGGATTGAAGTTTTGTAATAGGCTGTTTCTTTTGCACTTTAGTTTTCATTATTTCCTGAGGCCAGTTTCTTCTCTATGTACGTGTTAATAGTCATTTCTCATCTTTTTCTGGGCTGCCATGTTGTCATTTCTATATGCTAATGCAAAGTGGTGACTGTTTTGAGGGCCATATCATGCATCTTTACTGGAAAATCTTTCCTAATCAATGATAAATATATAGCCTTATGCGCCAACAAGTTATTTTGCTGACACAAGTGCCTTGTGCTGTTGTCTGAAACAGATGTTCTACAAGCAGGCGAAGAAAACCAACTCGTGTTGTACTATATTATAAGCTTCATATTATAAGAGTTTTCAAGGCTTAGTACCCTGTAATAGTGTAATTCTTCTCACCTAGTTACCTGTTACGATGTAAGGCCCCTGCGCAGAAGAAAGTGGCATGTGTCTATATCACTACGTTGTTTGGTTTGGTGAGTGTGGATTTTCCCTGTATGCTGTATTGCTGGAGGGAGCAGAATATTGGTCGTGTGAAATGTGATTCTTCTTGACAAATTAACATTCATATTTACTTCCTTGTGATTCTTCCTATGATAATACATGGTATATATAAGTTCTCACATCTATCAAGGCAATCTACTTGGAGATCTTCACCTGCACTACACTCAATTGTCATGGGCCTTTTCGAGATTATTTTCATGGTATTTTCCTGCATGTTTCTTTTAGTGGCTATGCTGATTTTGTTTCAATTAGTGGGATATAGCTGCGTTGATTGAAGCTTTTTGGCAAGATTCCTGCCTACGATTCATGTTTTAAAGCTTTAAAACAAGGAACAATTATTAGATCCTGGGAGAAGGCTTTCTCTTTGGGACAGAAAAACAAGTTATATTTAACAAATTAATACTTAATATATGGAAAATATAGTTTATGGTCCCTAGGATTATGGTGTTCACGTAATTTTTTCATTAAGAAATTACTCCTCTGGTTTTAAATATAAAATCTTTATATACATTAGTATAAGAGTCTTATATTTAGGACCGGAGGAGTAGTTTTTATAGTTATGGTCAACTTTTGGTTAAAAATGTCTTAGAGATGATTTGACATTGATACAACAATAAAATTGAAGATGATGTTGCAAAAATATGTGGTAACACTGAATATTTTGACCTAATTTCAACGCCACTTTATATGTTGATTTGTTGAAATATGACTATAAATATGTTTTCCTTTGTCTAAAAAAGTTATATTTTTCCATTATGTATTAATAATATATCTATGGAAGATCCAGAAAACACAGTAGGGGCAGTTTTTGTTACTGTGCACGTACATAACATGTTTAATATTTTTAGTAAATGTAGGACGAGAACAAACCGCCAGGCATGTTGATGTATTTGCAATAATAGGTTGAAATATGAAAAGATTGAATCATCATCCTACCATCTCTTAATTTTCACTGTTATTATCCACTACCACAGCATAAATTACAACTAGAAAGCGATCTGAGTGTAGTTTCAATTTTTAAATACCTCAAGATAGATAGATCAACACAATGCACTATTTTTGTTTTTCTTAACCGAATATGCATATAATACTTGGAACTTACACCACATATAAATATACAGAACAATCCAATAGAGACACCAAGAAGATCCAAACTTACTACGTCCGGGTTCTTAATTCCTTTCTTATTACATGAAATTGAAACACATTTTCAAGCTCATTGAACCTATCTTCCCAGTAAGGATTTAAACCACCAAATGCCTTTGGTGTCTTGGGGTCCCTCTTCCTCTGGTGGAGGATCACTCTGTGGCGTCTTGTGGAGTTTGCTAACATCATATTCCCAATTCTTTGCCTTCTCAACAAGCTCATTGTATATCTCATCATCCAAATGGGTCTTCCTGCATAATACCTGAGGGCAAATACACACACACACACACACGCACATATATATATATATGTTATGGTCAGATATGCACAGAGCCATTAGCAAACGACACAGCTTTTCTAAAGAACAAATATAAAAATCCAGAGCTCCCCAGCCCTTCGATTCTATCCTCAGCGAATCAGCAATAATCTAGCATTTGTTTAATATATTTTCTCCAAGAACTTCATGTATTGAACATATTTTAATCCTTGAATTCATTTTTAAATTCATTTAATATTGAGGTGGTCAAGACCTCGAAAGAAGTATAACTCTGTAGAATTTCCTCATACATATAATTCATACAAACCTTTAAGCAGATAAAGCAATGAGTTCAGATAATGTAGCCATAATAAGGGCTTCCATTTTCAGTTTTTAATCACACGGAACTGGAAATAATCAAAACCCCAACAGAGAAATTAGCTTACCCAAAGGTAATTCCTACTGGGCTGACCGACGACAGCGTGCTGATAATCATCATCAATGTACAAAACCCAGTAATCTCCGACGACAGGAAAGAGGGGCAAAAACGGAGGGACGTAGAATTTGACCTTGAGCTTAGCCTCATCGCTATTAGGATCAGCCTTGTAAGCGATTCCCTCAATGTAGCTTCTTTTGCCGGCGCTCCAAGTCTCATTGAGCACATTCACAGTGCCGTCGTCCCTGAGAGAGTAGGTGGCTCTGGTATTGACGCCGTCCCTGGGCTGAAACCTAGAAGGGAAACACGCTATCTCGTACCATCGCCCCATGTATCTCTTCAGGTCCAAATTCTTCACCGCTTCCATCTGTTTGCCCGCCATTGTTGGGGTTTTGCCTTCTCTCTATGTCCAACAGACAAATTGTGGGGTTTTAGCGGAAAGGAGTTTGATGAATTACGGCTCTCTCTGGTGGTTTTTTTAGCGTTAAAAGGTGAACGATGAATACGGATTCGGTTCTATCCCATCAGACACGAGAGAGAGTTAATACAGAGGATTCTCTTCTTTTTTTCATGTTACTTCTCCTCTCTTTTTCCTTCTTTTTTTTTTTGTCAAAAAAATTTCAATTAAAGGCCACAACTGAGAATTTATTTTAAACAACTCTCAAAATATTCTGAAATATCACTGCAGGACTAAAAAACTAAATTAAAATTAAAATTAAAAGTAAGATTACAATAATACCTCTTATTTTTATTTTTTTAAAAAATAAATATTAATAGTCGCCGGAGTAACGACCACTGAAGGTCGGAGGTCCGGCCACCGACACTTGGATGGCCGTAGCTGGAGGTTAGAGTTCCAGTGGCCGTTACTGTAGCTCTGGTGGTTAGAAGATTTTTTTTTCAAATAAAGTGGCCAAGAGAAGGTTTGAACCCATGACTTTTTGGCACACCAAAAATGATATAACCAACAAGCCAACCAAACCACCTAATCATATGATGCAAATAAAAATATATATAACAAAACAAAAACAAGTATCCAAGTATAAATGAACAAGTGAAATTCGACAATTTACAAGTAAAATTCAGTAATTTACAACAAAAATTTAGCGATTTATAAATAACATAATGAAATCTACAACCCCAAATACAAGTGTTTAAATGCAAATTAGCAAATAAAAATTGAAGATTTATAATAAAAGTTCATGAATTTACAATTCAAATTCGGCTATTCACAAAAAATCTAGTGTAAAATTCACAACTTAAAATATAAGTGTGAGTATAAATGAACAAGTGAAATTTAACGATTTACAACAACAATTAAGATATTTACAACCCAAATTCAACGATTTATAAGAAACATGAATAGTTATATTTGAAGTTATGAATTTTCTTATTAGTTTTGTAATGTTCATGTTTCTTATGAATTACTGAATTTAGGTTGTAAATAGCTGAATTTCACTTATTCATTTACACTTAAATACTTACATTTTGGGTTGTGAATTTTATGTTAGGTTTCTTGTGAATAGCTGAATTTAGGTTATAAATTCATGAACTTTTATAGTAAATTTTTAAATTTCATTTGCTCATTTACACTTAAACACTTGTATTTAGGGTTGTAAATTTCATTAAGTTATTTGTAAATCGCTAAATTTTTATTGTAAACTATTGAATTTCACTTGTAAATTGTCGAATTTTACTTGTTTACTTACACTTAGACATTTGCGTTAGTTTTGTTATATATATTTTTATTTGCATCATAAGATTAAGTGTTTGGTTGGCTTGGTGGTCATATTACTTTTGATGTGCCAAGAGATCATGGGTTCAAATCTTCCTTTGGCTACCTTATTTGAAAAAAAAATCACTGACCACCGGAGGTACCGTAACGGCTACTAGAGCTCAAACCTCTGGCGGCGGCCGCTTGAGTGCCGATGGCCGGAACTCCAACGACCATTAATATATATTTTCTAAAAAAAATGAGGGGTATTATTATAATCTTACTCTTAATTTAAATTTTAATTTGGTCTTTTAGTTCTGCAGTGACATTTCAGAATGTTTTGGGGGCTGTTTGAAATAAATTCTCAACTGTGGTCCTTAATCAAAATTTTCCCTTCTTTTTTTTTCTTTTTAACTTCATCATCATTATATTGAAATTTAACAATTCAAGTTTACTACTTTAGAAAATTATTATTGTAATTTTACATGTATACTATAAATAAATTTAAATTATTAAAATTAAATCTGAAAATTTTATCATCGGAGATTGAGTTTTATTAGCTTAAATTAATTTATGTATTTATATGTAAAATTAGAATAATAATCTAAACCATTAAATTTTAATCTAATGATAATAAAGAGGGAAAAAAGAGAAAAGAAAAAAAGAAAAAGAAAAAAAAAGAGAGTATCCTATCTAATTAATATAGAGGTCCCCTGACCTTCATCTTATAATCTTACTCTTAATTTAAATTTTAGTTTGGTCCTTTGGTCCTGCAGTGACATTTCAGAATATTTTGGAGGCTGTTTGAAATAAATTCTCAACTGTGGTCCTTAATCAAAATTTTCCCTTCTTTTTTTTTTCTTTTTAACTTCATCATCATTATATTGAAATTTAACAATTCAAGTTTACTATTTTAGAAAAGTATTATTGTAATTTTACATGTATACTATAAATAAATTTAAATTATTAAAATTAAATCTGAAAATTTTATCATCGGAGATTGAGTTTTATTAGCTTAAATTAATTTATGTATTTATATGTAAAATTAGAATAATAATCTAAACCATTAAATTTTAATCCAATGATAATAAAGAGGGAAAAAAGAGAAAAGAAAAAAAGAAAAAAAGACAGAGAGTATCCTCTCTAATTAATATAGGGGTCCCCTGACCTAGATTTTTAGATCAAGGTTTATTCAAGCTGCTCCAAAAAAAAATTGACAAGACAAAAAAGCTGCTCAAAATTAAATTAATGGATTATGTTCTAATTCTATCAACAAAAGCAAATTGATATAAACTGTATGATTGATCGGAATAGTTCAAGTTTTAACTTTGATCTTTAATATCTAAGCCAAATGTATAATATTCATATTATATATAATTTTCTTGCAAGTCCATTATTTTATAAAAGAAAATATTACTTATACCTACTGTATCAATTTCTCCCATCATACATGACCATGTATTGCATTTTTAAAATATTAATATTTAATAATTTTTAATTATAAATCCAATTAAAACAAAAGAAAGATTAGAAAATTTAAGACCCCTTTGGCTCAATCGCATTGCAGCCTTGCAATGATAATCTTTATCACATTATTATGTATAGCTTGTTTGGTTGAGTTTATACGTGGTAAAACATACTCCTCCGGTCCTAATTATAAGACCCAATTGACTTATTTGAGGAGATTAAGGAAGTAAGTTAAGTTGGTTATTTATAATAAATAAGTGTTGTTATTCCTAAAATATTCTTTCTAATTAAGTATATTGGCTAAAACTATCATTATTAGAAGGATTATCTTGGAAAAAAATGCATAAATATAAGAGAGAAAATGGATTGGGTCTTATAATTAGGACTAAATAAAAAGTCAAATTGGGTCTTATAATAAGGACCGGAGGAGTATTACAATAGTGGTATCTATTGCACATTTTTTAGTGTTATCCATTCATATGGGAGGAATTCTTATATGCACTGGGAGTGCCACATAACTTGTACTCTGACTAATAGAAATCCTCCAAATCACACAGTGGGACCCATGCTTGTTGCAGTCTTTTATGGATCTTTTTTCCTTCTGCACGTGCGCGCTTTCTCCTCTGTCAACTTTCCCTCTTTCTTTTTTAATTTAATTTTCTCTTTCTGGTAAAACTTTTTCTACCCACTTTAAGTTTTATCTCTATATCTTATTTTTGCATACACTCACCTTCTTTCTTTATTTTTAATTTTATTTACTCTATAATTTAAGTAATAGCACGTCGTTTGAAGCTTTAAATGGAGTTATAAAGTAGCATTACTAAAAACATTGAAATGGTTCGTTTACCTTTTATCAAAATATAATTGTTTCAGCAATTTAATAAAAAAAAGAAAAAAGAAAATACTTGTATAAACATAAGCTATCATCCGTAAATATCAATAAAGCAGCAAAACAGGTTTGACAATTCGCTTTTTTGGTACAAGAAGGATTACTTTGTTTAATTAAAACATTAATGCACCAACAATCTCACGAAAAAAATGAAGAAAAACAAAAATACTTTTATAAACACAAGTTATTATAAGCAAATGTTTGTCATTGAAGTTAAAAAAGGCCTAACTGGATATTTTATTTAATTTGATTCCTTTTATCAAAGTCTGCTTCTAATTTTCACATGTCCTTTTTTAGTCAAATAGTTTTCACATGTCAACATAAAATAAACCATAAAAAAGAAGGGAATTTTAAAAAGTTGAGAAAGAAGTTAAAGGTTGAGTTGTAAAATACTACTCCAATCCTTAATATAAGAGCTAATTAACTAATTTAAATAGATTAAAAAAACTAGTTAAGTTAACTATTTGTAATAAAAGTCAAACGAGTTTTTATATTAAACACCAGAAGTAGTATGAATTATGTAACCAAAATATTTTAAATTTTAAATTTTTATATAATTATTTTAGAATTTTGGATTTGGGAAAGCAACACTATTATTTACATGAGAGATTAAATAAAATTTAAAAAAGAAGAGATAGAGAGAGGGACGAGGGAGAGCGTGTGAGGGCATACGAAAATAAAATAAAGAGACAAAATTTAAAGTGGGTGGAAGAAGTTTTATTGGGAAGAGAGAGAGAATTAAATCAATAGACAAAAAGAGAGGGGGAGAGCCGGCGGCTAGAAGAAAGAGGGCGCGTGCAGAAGGAAAGAGGATGTATAAGACTGCAACAAACATGGGTCCCACCATGTGATTTGGAGGATTTCTATTGGTCAGAGCACAAGTTACGTGGCACTCCCAGCGCACGTAAGAATTCCTCTTCATATGAGGGACCTATAAATGATCATTGCAGGACTACAGTTTCTTAGAAAATGTCCATTTTATCCCTATTAACTAGTATGAGAGGACAATAGCTGCCCTGTTGATTGTCCCCCCAGCTAATACCTTGTCCTTGGTCTCTAGTCTCCCTCCCCTAATTACCTTGACCGCTCCCTCTTCTCCTTTATCATCTCCCTTTCTCCATTATCGTCATCTCCTCCATCTCCTTCACAAAGTAAAAGTAGGTTAATTCGTCTATATCTATATATATTTCACATCATAACAATACTCAGTTGTGCTGACTCACCAATTTTTACATTTTGCAAACTACTCCTCCTTGAAGATTATTTTGATCATCCCACTATTAACTGCAAAAGTATCTGACAAGCGCTCCTAATGTCAATTTTATTCGTAATATTTCATTTTTCATTTGATCTGCGTAGTGGTGGTACTCTACTGGGGTGAGGCATTTGGAGGGTT